TGTCGGCGTGCTTATGACGTCGCTGGAAGCACAAAAGGTGTAAAAGTGCTGCTGAACGGAAAAGTTTTGCCTGTAAGTGGTTTCAAAACTTGATTTTTATTCTTGCTATGAAAGCTAGTGAATCGATAATTTTTTTTTCAAGGTGCAAGGATTCAAACAGTATGTTGAGCAGTATACCAAGGATCTTACTGGTCCAACAGGCGAACCAGCTAAGATCGTTTATGAATCGGTAAGTGATGTTTGAGCCTTTTCAGACTTGGAAGTCTTGAACTTTTCGTTTTGGAGTAATGTATGATTTTTGAGGTCAACGATCGATGGGAAGTAGCGCTGACCGTTTCGGATAAAGGATTCCAACAAATCTCTTTTGTTAACAGTATCGCCACAATGAAGGTCAGCTTACAAATCAGGTTTTTTCTACTCTCTAAATCTCTTTTTTTGATAGGGAGGTCGCCATGTTGATTATGTAGCTGACCAGATGGTGGCTAAGTTGATCGATGTCATCAAGAAGAAGGTTGGAAAAAGTACGGTCAACGTAAAGCCGTTCCAAGTGAGTCAATCGCTGTCTTGGTGCTTTTATTTTTGAAATGTTTTCCTTTTCAGGTGAAAAATCACATGTGGGTGTTTGTGAACTGTTTGATTGAAAACCCTACGTTCGACTCGCAAACCAAGGAAACGATGACTCTGCAAGCAAAATCATTCGGATCGAAATGCGAGCTCAGCGAGAAATTCACAAAGCAGGTCAGTCTTTGCTTACATTAGGATTTTCTTGTAATTAGGGTAAGGGTAAATATTCATAAGATGCAGACTTGGCAGTTGTAAAGTTTCAAATAGTAAAGTTTCAAATATATCATTTTTCATGAAAATCTTGAGTTATTTTCAGGCCATCAATTGCGGTATTGTAGACGCAGTGCTTGCTTGGGTAAGATTCAAGCAACAAGAAGATATGAACAAGAAATGCAGTGGTAAGAAAACCACTAAGCTGAAGGTTTGCATTTTGATGCGTCATCCTCTATACCTAATTTACCTAACTTTCGGATTTTAGGGAATTCCAAAACTGGAAGATGCCAACGATGCTGGCACGAAAAACTCTCAACTCTGTACGCTGATCCTCACTGAGGGAGATTCAGCCAAGACCTTGGCTGTCTCTGGCCTCGGTGTGGTTGGCCGTGACCGGTATGGAGTCTTCCCGC